CTGGACATCGCGCGTTATTATAAGTATATTTTTAAAAAAAAGTGAGTGAAAAAAAACAAAAAAACAAGCCACGTTGCGGCACCACTTCTGGGGCCAATTTCTGACCAGGGACAGGCGATTTCTTCGGCCTAATAGCTTACTTTAATTACCACTAGTCTATTTGGAAAATAAATTTCCAAATGGCCATCTTACGATGGCCATTTTACGACGAGCGAAAGCTTGACTTCACCGAAAGCTGAGACCTCAATGTTTTGCAGCTCTATTTGCACTAAGGTTTGTCAGAAATTATATTTTTCCATTGTAAATTTGATTTCTTTGTGCATTTTGTGTGTGTACTTAACCTTCGTCAGTTCAAAGGGATAAATGTGCCTTAGTTGACCTAAAGGCTTTAATTTCTTATTAAAACCAATGTCATTGTGTATCAAACAGTACTCGAAGTCATATAGTTTTATATTTTTCATCATAGCTCATCATCTTTCCGTTGACATCTTTCTTACATCAATGTTGTCATACATGACCGAGTACATTTTTATTGAAAATGAATCGGGTCCAAATCGGATTTCTGGAAGTTTGGTTACTAAATGAAACACAGGTTTGTCAATGAAAGTCAGTATGATCAATAAAGTTTTCTTCAGGGATCAACGGGTATATTCTTACTACGTGTTTATCCGTTTGTGCGTCCACACTGTCAACACAACCCCTCCCCCTCGATTGGAAGCTGACTTCGACAGAGAATGCCCATGCTCGTCTGAATATATCCGGGCCATCATTTGCGCAATCGTCCAATTCGTGTTTCGTGTCGAATACTGGCCTGCAAATTGGCAAGATCACGTGCAGGAGTTGCAAACACCTTGTTAAATGTCCTCACCGGACAGAAACCACCTAGTGTGAGCTCAGGCGATCTTGGGGCCATTCTACGGCATGGTTGAGGGCAATGACTCGTTCTCCAAATGGTTCCCTCGGCCGATTCTGCTGTAGTGTTTGCTAATTGTTAAGTGCTGGAGTCACAAGAGGGCGCTATTCATGTTGTCAATGAATCGCTCAGTACGTTGCCGTGTAGTAATCTTGGTGTTTTGGACATGTTGCGGGCGTGAAAGATAGTGCCAGGTTTGATAATGCATTAATTTATAAAATGTTAATGTCTTGGTTCTGTGATTTATAGATAAATGCAAATGGGTAGATATTTAATAGTCCAGATCGATCAATAGAGGGATTAAGTTGAAACCAGTTAAGGTCCGGTGCCAATGAATATACTTGTAAATTGGTCGTTCGCGCCACAACCTTGGATCTTTTCCAAAACTTCTAGACAACTTTGTAGTCGTCAGGGATCGAGGACCTGGAATGGTCTTGTGGGTTCGCTGAATTGCACCAGCTGGGTTGGGGACCTTAGGCTAGGGGCAGATTGGCCACATAGACTGGTTAGTTACATGTATATAGCGAATTATATAATAGCTAATCTAAGGTCATAAAAGTGGCTGTATTTAACAGGGCGCAAGTTGAATGTCAAATTTGCAATGTGGTGTGCACGTACGTGTACCTCCACCTTTGTTATTGTACATGTACAGGTACAATATATTATGCATGACCTTGGAAATCCGCAACATGTACATGTTACATTGTAAGTTACATGTAGCACCAGCAATAGTCTTCATTGATTATGGAAATTGGTATTGAATTTAATTTAATTTAATTTATGGAACCAAAGATTCATGTTTATTTAAATTAATAATTTTGTACTAGCAGGTCTTTCCATGAGCAAAGTGGAGCTCTCCAATAAACCAAAATTTGAGAGTGACACAGGAACCCCAAAATTTGTCCTCACCGCCTCACTTTCTCTCGTCCCCGGGAATTACACTACACTGCACAGCGACAAGGCAAATGCTACAGCACCGTCTCAGATCAGTCAGTTTTGTCCGAGACTCTATTGAGAACCTGTTGCTAAAAGTGCTCCTCAAGCTGCGGTACAACGTCATCATTGATCATATGCAGATGCAATAAGCCTTTTGCGAGTTAACTTTGACCCAAACCAGGTACGCTAAGTTCTTTAAAATTCTCGTTAACAAAACAACTTGTATTTTCCTTACAAAAAAAAACATTGTTATACCTGGTGGTTCGGGCAAGCTTTTGTTTAGTTACATAAGAAATGCCTTGCAACAATTCACTATTCTCGATTGATAAGAAGGGCACAAACGAACCAGTCCATTCCAGAGATGGTGGTTGCTATGCGAAAGCTTGCCCCGAATCACAAGGCATAGCAACAGTGTCTTTAGTCTGGGGAATTCAAATTGTTATGTTTATGCGCAGTCAGCTAACTCAGTGCATCAGATTTTATTCAAATTTAACTCAGAAATGGCTTATTATCATTGGCATATTCCTTTCGGCCAATACATACGTTTCGATGCAAACTTGTCATGACGTCTTATTCGCTTTCCGTTGGGATTCGCCTAAAGTATGGGCCGACCGTAAGGAAGGTTTGAATGTCTTAACACTTTCAAATTGGTCGGGCACGATGTCAGGTCCAACACTGCAATTAAAGTACATGAACCAATACAGTTGTCCTTTAACTTGACAACCGTTGACGCTGCACGTGTAAATAGCCTATGAGCACTGAGGAAAGGAAAAGATGATCACTGCGTAAACTTCATAATTCAGAGGATGGATCAAAGTAATAAGCCAGGTTATCCATAGCAAGTAAGTATGGGGATCATTCACAAATATTTTTTTCAAATGAAACCACCACTTATACGGGGCAACATTCTGAGTGCACGGTTGCCTGTAAGTTTTGATAAACCGGTTTGGTATTTCAAACAAACAAGCAAGGTCGACGTCATTTGAAAACAAAGCACCATCTACGTGGGTCCGCGCCAATAGTGCAGACTTTGCACTCACGCCCTAATGACCTTGGAGAAGTTTCAGTTTGGGCATTCGCTGTTGAAATACTCAGACTGGATTATTGTGATGAAATAGCTTTGCACGCGCATGAAAGCATAGAATTCAAGAAAAGTACAGTCCCAACTGAAAATAACTACACATAAAAAGAGACCGTGAGGTTAAAAAGGCTTGTTTGCGTCGAAATTCAAAGACGGAACGCAATGAAATAAGGCTAAAGAGACTAGCCTACGTGTATATATATGTCCACTTTTTAAAATTATTTTCCAAGTGAAACACGAGTTGTACGGAGGTGTTTCATTCTGAGGTGTAAGACTTCAACCATTCATGGCAACCAGGCTCCTCTGTAGCTGATCTAGCAGAATGACTACTAAAAAGAGTTATAATGACAGTTCATGTATCATGTATTAAAAGGGGAACGATCAGGAACAATCTTGCACAGTCTTAGATATTACCCATCAACATTTTACTGCTTTTAAATGTTAGAGGTATCCCATCATGAAAACTACCCTACCGAAAACATCTGATTTTCCCTACCCTCTGCTTTGAAAACGTTCAACTCCCTCCTGTTAGATCAGGGGTCAGTGTTGGCACTTACAATGAATTATGATGGCTTTGAACTATCCTTGAGTGGAAGCATCCCTCACTGGTTGAAAAGGAGCCAGTTGTAGGTGAGTGTCCTTTTTGGAGGGGGCGAGGAGAACGTAACGTGTTAATTTCGTACTTGTTTGTGGACCATTTTAAATCATACTTTAAACTTACCTCAGATGTTCACTCATATCATGCCAGACGTGCCTCTCAAAAGAAATTATATGTTGATGCCAATAGAACTTCATTACACAAAAATAGTCTTGTACAATGCGGTGTCCAATACTGGAATAGCCTAAATGAAATTATAAAAGCAGCGCCCAGTTTATTAACATTTGCTCTAAAGTTGAAAAATCTAATACTTTCTGAACACATCACCTGTACCGACTAGAATTGTATTTTGATGCATTGAATTATCTTCTGCCTGTCAGTGTTTGTGCGTATGTATATCATTGTATTGTATTGTCCTATGTTATAATATGTATGTCTGTCAATAGGTTAGGGAACAAAAGCAAATCTATGCTTCACCGTTACCTAAATGTTGTTCTTTAACGTGTTAATGTGTGTTAATAAAGGTTGCAATGACCAGCTAAGTGCAGTTCCAACCTTCGAAGACCCTTGTTGCCATGAAAAATACAGTTTTAATCTTGGTCCCATTCAGGGTTACAGAAATGATGCAACTAAAGAACCGATTCAACCTTTTTTTTTTTACACCAGTGGGTAGACATCAGGAATTCGTAGAGGGTTCAATACAAACTGGAGAAGCCTCTGTCATACTCCAGAAAAGCAAACCAGCATCAAACATAAAAGTGGTTGGAGCGGGACGGAAATACAATAGACTAAAATATGAATTGAAATAAAAGAAAATTTTTCATATGGGTCCGTGGTAGCGGATTCAAATTCAGCAGTTTGTAAGCCAATGGCGTTTAAGGACGAACTTCACTGTTGAAGTGGTATAAAAAGGGCTGATCCTGCAGATTCAGATCCAAATTTTTAGGGATGGAAAGACCACATAATGGTGTATTTAATAGTTGGGTGGTTTATTTACATATGCCTACATCAGAATTGAAATATAAAAAAAAACAAATGTAATTACAGAATGAAATAAGAAATGATGACAGGTGGATATCAGACAGTCAGCAAACGCTCGTTCATGGCCTGGTTCCTTACTTAACAATAATCATATGAAGCCATAAGTAAAAGAGAGAGGACAGAGAGAGAGAGAGAGAGTAAGTAAGTAAAATAACTGTAAAATAACTGAACGTCAGAATTTAGGAAAGATTTTGATTGTCGTAACATCTTTGGAAGGGTCACAAATCTAAATGTGATTGCTTTGATAAAGATATGCACAAGAGATATGATATACGTACACAAAATACATGTGTAATACAGGGTGAATAAACTATATAACACTGGAAAGGAGGATAGTCTTGAAGTATTTTTAAACCATGTATACTTC